CCAGAGCACAACCTCTGCAGGCTTTTACTAATTTTTCAATGTCTTGATCCAATATGGCCCAGTATACATAGCTTTTCATAAGAGATTTCATCCTTGAAATTCCCAGATGTCCACTATGAAAGTCATTTAATATCTACTTCTGTAATATAATAGGAATTATGACTCTTTGTGCAAACATCAGTACTCTGTCACATAGTGAGTAAGCATTCAAGTCTGGATTGTGTTCTATAAATTGTCTATCTTACCTTCTTCTAGTTGTTTTTTTTATTTTTGAAATAAACATGTCTTCTGCTTTTCCTTTTATTTCTGCCAGAGTAACTGGAGTATTTGCGTACTACATTGCATAATATATTTTAAATTTCTATTTCAATTTTTAATGCTGTAGTAACAGTGTACTCAAATAGTCTAGTATTTTTTGGTATCAATCTTGATAAACCATCAGTATATCCTAATTTTTCGGACGGTTAGTATTCTGTCCTGAAATAAGATCATACCCCAGTATTGTAATCTATTCTCTGTATGTGTAGGATTCCTTTTTTTGAAACAAATTGATAACAGAGGTCTGTGATCTGCCTGTAAATAAAAACACCTACAAATTTGTGAAATTTTTCACTACAAATATTATTGCTAACACCTATTTTTCTATCTGGCTGTAGTTTTTTCTTTGGTAGTAGCGAATGCAAAGTATGTGTGATGACTTTCATATTAACGTAATCATATTTATTTAGAATTACTGTTCCTATATCATAGTAATTAGCATCTGAAAACAATACCATTTCTTCTTGTAATGAGTTGGTCGGTCAACTTGACACCCGAAAGTGAGTTGAGGTGGGCAGGCGCGGGAACTGTGATTGGTAGCTGGCTTGTTGGTGTTTTGTATAGGTGAGTTACCAAGCTCTATGTGAAAGGCTGGAATGAGAAGGAGGGTAGTTTTTTTCAGTCTCAGAAGTGGAAACTGCGTCCGTCGCTACGACAGCAGGAGAGAAAGAGACGAAATCATTTTTTTTCGTGACACATTCCAACACAAGCTATTTCGGCATTTACTTTGTCTCCAGCAAGATGGCGGAAAAGACCGTTCGACATAAAAACTGATCTCCAATTCAGTGGTGACACGAGGGACAGTCTGTGGTTGAATGGATCGAAAAAGGTGGAACTGGTCTGCAAAGTTATGCGAGATCACGAAGATTGAAAGGATTCTTCCACCGCGCTGAAAGGCGGCGCCTTTGCATAATAGGCAGTTGAGCAAAGAACAGAAAAGTGACATTGAGCAAATAAAGCACGCTCTACTAACCGCATTTGAACTGATCGTTCGTGGCCTATGACCAACTCCAGGTGCCAAGCGTTTACCACCTGGCAAGACAGTAGACGCGATATTTGGCAGAATTAAAGAAGCTCAACGTACCGATTGCACCACTTCCTGAAGAATGGATGACCTGTGCCTTCGTGTCTGGATTGCCTAGTCATGTTAAGCAGAGCCCGAGCTATCATGAAAAAAAAAAACTACCCTCCTTCTCATTCCAGCCTTTCACATAGAGCTTGGTAACTCACCTATGCAAAACACCAACAAGCCAGCTACCAATCACAGTTCCCGCGCATGCCCACCTCAACTCACTTTGGGGGGTGTCAAGTTGACCGACCAACTCATTACACTTCTTTTGGATTGTAGTGCCCTAACGATAAGTCTGATATTAGTATATTAATTTCTTCAAACACTTTCTGACACTTATCAGTCCAGTTCCATGTTACACCTTTTTTAAGCAAATTGTTCAATGGAGTGCTCAAATTCTGCATATTAGGTATATGAATTTGATAATATTCTTGCAGTCCGAACAATACTTGTAATCTAGTAATATTTGTTGGAGAAAGCATATTCTTAATTGCACTTGCCCTCGATGGATCTGGTTGACAACCATTTTTGTCAATGATTTGTCCTAGGTACTTGATTTTAGGCAAAAACAATTCACATTTTTCCTCACTGAGTGTGAACCTGTATTCTTGTATTTTCCCAAAAAGTATTTTCACATGCCTGATATGTTGTTCCATCAATACACTTTTAATTAATATATCATCTAGATAATCATCAAATGCAAAATTACATTCTGCAAGCATAGTATCCATAGCTTGTTGAAATATAACTGGAGTCACTTTTATTCCAAAAGGAACTTAGTTGAACTTATACAATTCCTTGAGTGCATATTTATAGTTATTAACTCTGAACATTATTCTTCAACCTGTATTTGTAAATACACTTCAGAAAGATCTAGCTTTGAAAAAATCTTTCCACTCTTTAAATTTGCAAAAATTTCCTCTGGGCTTGGTAATGGGTAGTTATGAAATTCTAAACGTTCATTTAACCCTGTCAAAAAATCAGCACAAACACAAATTTTATTATTATTTTTCTTTACATCCACTTCTGGTGCTTCCCATTTTGAATGATCAATCTTTACAATTACACCTATTTTTTCAAGTTTGTCTAATTCTTTGTTGATTTGATCCAATGTTGCAAATGATACACTACATTTTGGTTTAAACATTGGCGTCAACCCTTTTTTCACTCATAATTTCACTTTGACTAATGAACACCAACTCAACTCATCCAACAGAATATCCAAAAAACATTTTTTTCAATTCTTCCTTTAAATTTTCACAGTGTTTTCTTTATACCTGTTAGCTTGTTCACTTACATTTTTGCAATAAATATTTATAGGTAAATTCCACAACTCAAATAATTCCATCCAGTCAGCACTGAAAAAGTTTGTAGTATTTTTTAATGTATAAGCCTTACCTTTTACACACTTGTTACAAAATGAAATGTTACAAGTCATTTTACCAATAAAAAATAATTTCTTACTTGACATGCCACATGCAATTTGTGAAGTTTTCCATTTGCTTTCCATGTGGCTTAGTTGGTGCTGTGATATCACTATCAGTGTTTAGTTGCATTTTTACATCCACATTATTAATTTTTACTAGACACTGATAGTGAAGTGTCAGGTAAGAAATTATTTTTTATTGGTAAAATGAATTGTAACATTTCATTTTGTAACAAGTTTGTAAAAGGTAAGGCTTATTTTCTTTGTTTTTCTGTAATAGTGGTTATAATATTATTCTTGCTTAAGCTACTCTCCATGACATCATCAATTCTTTCCTTTGACTCCAATGGACTTCCCCAACTTACATTGAGTTCTTTAGTTAAGGCATCTTGCCTAGTTCATTAATGTTACCAGGCGTGTCTTATTTACTCCACAACAGTATGGCAACTTACCAACTTTTACCATCAGATCATCAGGATGCAAATGCCAGAATATGAGAAATGGTGTATAGAGTAGCTAAGACTAAATAGGTAGAGTTACAAGCATCAGTCCCTGTAAGAGTGGGAAACTGTAAGGGTACAGGCCAGAAGTTGAAGGAGTGTGTTTCTTCCCCACTTCTTCATTTAATCCTGTGCCAAGTGTACCAACAAATATTTGAGTGTCAACACTTAGCTAAGTGTTGACACTCAAATATATAATATGGCATTCAATAATTTGCTCAGCTTTGGATATGTTGCTACAGCCAGTTTTTCTTTCACGCAGAGCCGACAGAACCTGTTTCCATATTTATAACTGAATGCCTTTTTCATTATTTCTCTCTTGAAGGACATTCACCATATTTTTCGTTATCCTTCCACAAGTCACTAAATAGGTTGTACTAGATTTGTATTTATCAGAGGAAACATACAGTTTGTAGCTCTTATTTCTTTTGCTTAAACAGTCATTCAGTGGACCCAATATATACATTTTTAGAGCCTGTGTGTTTTTACTGTAACTGTTAATTAGAGCAACAAAAAATGGGAGATGTGGAAAGCCATGATTACCTATGTTCTGAAGAGACAGGGCATATAAAAAAGAGAAGACAACAAGATCTAAATCTTTAACAAGGAACAATAGGCAAATGAACAATCAGGGAATGTATGGTGATTGATACAAAAAGTGCAATTGGCATGCAGCGTTCAAATTCCAGCAAAATCCACTGCATTCACTTTCACACAAATACCCTTTGGAAAAGGATGAATGCATCTTTTCTCCTACCTATGGGTTAAATAAGAGAGTAGACTGGGCTGTCTAGCCTTGAAAGGACAACTCTGAATTCAAAACCAGTTGGATGTAGGGGTGCAAATACTGCAGCCCTATGCACCACAAGTGAAGTTCAATGGTAGTAAAAAAGAGGGACGATGCAGTTCAAAATGCAACATAAACAGTAACAATTCATAATTTATAGATATCAATAATAATATCTACATATAAAAATGATTATTCTTATATAGTTATTAGATCGATTGTTTGATTTTGTTAAGCGGCATATCAACCTCTATGGGTTATTTAATGATGAAATCTAAATATTTTGTAAGCAATTTTATTATTTTGTACATAATTTTGTACTTTCAGGGCAAATGTATGTTTGTTAGATATATAGTAGATAAAATGTACTGTTGATTTTTGTTTGGGTGTTCACTGTTTGCCCATAGCTGGAACCCTAACAGATGCTACCACCCCAGGCTCTGGGAACAACAGCAGTTAAGAGATGGTTCCATGCACCTCAAAACCTCTAATCTCCCAATCAGAAGCTTTGCTGCCAGATGTAGTTTATCATCATACCCAGAACTGTAATCATTACAGAAACAAAATATGCATTATTTTCCTACCAGTCTTAAATATGCTTATGCAAAACATTTTTTCCTTTAAAAGACTTCATAGATAAGATATTCTGTAAAATGGCATTTTCAAGACTTTCAAGTTAATTCTTGTTAGCTTTCATTTCAAACTCTATAGTGATTTGATATTGAATTACTCTGTGATAAAACATGTAAGAATCTAATAAAAGTTAAAACATCGATATTGCCATAGTAAATTTTTTTACAAGGAAAAGTTATTTCAAAAGTTATTTTAAGAAACTACTTTTGTTATAAAGGTAATTTGAAAACATCAGTTTATTTTAATTGTAAAAAACTCATCTTTAACCTTCATTGCTTCAGTCTTCTTAACTTCTTTCAACCATTCATCTTTAGATGCAGTAGCTGTAATTAACTCAAGGTTCTGGGTTTGTTGTTGAAGTTGGGCTGCTAAGATGAACATTTCTCGAATCAACTTCTGTGCTTCACTTATCTGAAATGAAAATTTGGGAAAGAAAAAATATGATATATTGTATCCAATTGGTATATCCACAATGTCAGATTTTATCATTTGAGTCAATGTTTTCATAATAAAATTGGTATTAATCAACTGATAAATATACTGTGGAGATTTCAGCTTATATCATATTAATAATGTTGATGATAAATTGTTTAGGTAGATGGCAAGTTCTATTATTAAGTGCAATACAATTTTTTATTTATAAATAAATTCAAAACAGAACATAAAAACATATTCAGTTAACATAGTATATACCTGAATAAATTATATTATTTTACATGTTAATATGGACTCCTCACTAAAATTTGAATTGATTTTGTTAACTTTTCTAATGTTGTTTTCACGTTAACATTATTTGCAATGGTTTCATTGCTTCACAAGCATCTTTGCTTGGATATTGTTTTCAATTCTCTTTTAATGACAAAAATCACCATTTTTCTATTGAATCAATGACTGGGGATGAATTCAATTAATTTGGTGTTTCTGAAACTATTTTTAGCAGGGTATTGTCAGCTTTGCAGAATGTGAAGGAACATTGGTTTGCATAAATATATTCTTTAGTTTAAATCTACTAATGTATGACCTGGACTACTCAAAAAATGTCCAAGAACTTAATGATTTTTTAAATTTAGTCTAGTGCCATCATCAACTTCAATAGTACATAGTATTTTTCATCATACAATACTAACCCAAAATATTAATCAATGTATTGTTTTCTAAATAGTGTTGATTGACTATTTCCTGCAAGGATCCAACATCTAGCCAAGGTATCAGATCCATCCAATGTAGCTCTACATTTTTAACTAAAAAGTTACTGTTGAGAAATCAGTTTCCATGTATTTCATCATCCAACTGATACATTTCTCTTTATGATATTTACTTAAAACATTACAATTTGGCTGCTTTCATATCTTTAATATTCTTTATATTGTACATTTAAAGTTTTGTTGCTTTCATGCCTTTAATCAATGTTTATATTCTGCATCTTTTCTCTCCATTTTTATTTGTAATACCAGATACTTCAAACATTTTCTTCCTGGACAATCCACTTTTTCTGCTTATATCACTTTTAATTTTCTCAAATCTCTTTATTTAACATCCTTTCAAGTTTTTTTTAGCACTTTTCAATATTGTTTTCCATCACCCAATAAATACAGGGTGCAGCAGAAATACTTCTTACATAATAGTAAGACATTAGTGGGTCATTCCATGTCAATTCAAATAATCAGTGTACCCACTCAAAAAAATAGATTTTTTTTTCATTTTGATATATGTTGTAGATCTTATAGTCATTAGAAAATCCTAAAAATTTTAAATGAAAATTCCTAACCGTTCTCAAAATATCACAAGATGAAATTTGCATTTCCCGTCAACAGACATTTCCATTTTTTAACTCAATGATTTCACAGAAACCTTTATATCTTCTGATTCACTGGCCAGAAATTAATGAAATTTGATACCTTTATAGATTTTTAGTCAAGGAATTCAATTATCTATATAAAATCCTACAGGGAATAACAAAAAAAAAATAGATATTAGCAGTTTTCTGGTGAAAAAAATGAAAATTTTTAGGTGGCTGACCACATGGAAAAATTGAGAAATATCATCTTCAGCTCTTAAAAGTAGCAAAAAGGTAGCACAAAATTTGAAAACTTAAATATTTGGATAATAAATCCCTATAAGTTTCATTAACTGTCTCTCAAAGCTACCAATTCTAGATCTCTTAATATTTTTTTCTCAAAAATTCTGATTCGTGGTAATTTCACAATTATGATTTTCTAATATTGACATATTCTGCTAAAGATGAAGTCCAAAGGTAACAAAACATTAGGAAAATATTACATAGAATTTGGGGAATTCATTCCCTAAGTTTTAACAACTCTCTCTTTTTATGGGCATTTGAATATGCATTGCAAAACAAAAAAAAAGTAAATTATCATTAGCATCCAACTCCTCCAGTTTTCTTATAGACATCAAACAAATCTGTTCTACACCACATAAAATTTATCAGAATTTTCAAGCACTGACCTTCTTTGCAAATTTCTCTGAATATGTAAACTTGAAAGGTAAGTATAATCTAACAAGAGAAACAATGCTAAGGTAAGTAAAGATATCTTAAAGGAAATTTACATTTAATGATTTAAAAACATTAAACATCAGGCTTGAATTAGTCCAGGCTCTGTAACTGGGCCCAGAGAAATTTCTTGTGGCAAGTTATTATATAAAAAATGTATGTGAGCACCAGAGTAACTACTATATAAAGAAGCTCAAGAAAAAATGCTATAAACTGCTGCAACCCATTTGCTTATCACAAAAGAAAATCAAAAGATTATTTTTTTTGTTGATTACACTTTTTTATGTTTGGAGTCATATGCCATTTGCACAGGAGTCAAATTTATTTTTTAAAGCATAAATGATTAATGGAACAAAACCTTTGTACTAGAAGAAATAAATATGGATGTTTCTATAGTTACCTTTGTCTGTTTAGTTTAGTGTCCCTCTGTTATTGGTCAGGGTTTCTTTGGAAGTTTGTGTTTGTTGATTTGTCTAGTTGGTCAAAGTTGAGATAAATGAATAGGAAAGTATGGACTTATTTGTGTCAGAAATATTTTCTAGAATGATTATGCCTAATTTTAACAAATAATGTTATTACATTAGCTTGTGGCTAAGCAAAATATATGGAACCAATATGCATGATATTAAATTTAATGCAGCAAAGAAAAAAAAAAAGAAAAGAAGAAAAAAAGAAAATCTTTTTCAGTTATCTTAGTTCAAGGGAATTATGCTGGTATTTTTTTTTAATAAAGTTCATAAAAAAGAGTTTTTGAAAAAAGGAAAATAAAGTATCATACTTTGAAAAAAAAATTATTCTTTAGGTGTTCTCCATGACTCTTTGGCACTTGTCCAAAAGCTTGAAGCTAATGGTTTAACTGTAATTCCTGGATTGAATTTATGCAGCAAATGTCATTTATCATTAAGTCAATGACATGATAACATATTGTGCAATCTTTCAACTCCAGCTACAACTTCAGGACACATGTATATCCTTCAAAATGATGAATATGATATAGAGGAGAACTAGGAGAATGAATGATTTATAGTTTTATCTAGAAACTAAATTCAAAATTTATTTTGCCAATTTTATAAGTTGATGTTACATTGAAAGTATAAAATCTATACTGTTGTAATTAGAGACTACTGATAAATATATAGCTATTTCAAGTTTTTTTTTCTTTTTTTTTATCTCAAATGATTTATCTTGAACACTTCTTAAAAAATAATAATAATTATAAATTTAGATTTTTGTTTCTCTTTCTTTCTCTATAAGCTTTTAAAATCTTGATGATCAGGGAAATGTTGAAGCAATATGGGAAATTTTGGTTCCAGGGTAGAATTGAGCTAAATTTGCATTTTATTATTTTATTTTTGCAGTGCATATTCAAACACCCATAAAAATCAAAATAAAATGAAAGTTTTTAAAACATAGGAAATGAAATCCTCAAATACTATGTAATGTTTTCCAAAAACATTATCAAAGTATCAAATTTCATTAATTTTTGGCCAGTGGATCAAAAGATAACAGTTTCTGTGAGTTTGAAAATAGGGATGTCCATCAACAGAAAATGCTGATTCAGCAAAATTTCAACTTAGATATCTTGAGAACTGTTAAGAATTCTAACTTAAAAATTTCAGGATTTTCTAATGACTATAAGATCTACAACATATATCAAAATGAAAAAAAAAAAATCTATTTTTTGGGGGTTACATTGATTGGTTGAATTGATATGGAATGACCTGAGTGGCAACGAGTTCTTCATCTAGCTAATGTCTTACTATTATGTGGGAGGTATTTCTGCCACACTCTGTATAAAATCTTATTTCTCTTTTGGGATTATGTCTTTTTTATGACCCATGGCAATCTTTATAGATCTGAAATTAAAAATTATCTATAAGAATACTATAAAATATGATGAACAACTCTCAAGTTGCATAATAAAATCTCACATCATAAAATAGGTTAATGTAAATATTTCTTAAAGAAACTAAAATTCACCTGATATATTTATCATAAATATTAGTAAACCCTGAAAAAATTACAAACAATTGGTTAATACCAATTTTATTGTGAAATATTTTTTACTTTCATAATAAAATCTAACATTTTTTTAGAATTAGTCATGTATAAAAGCATTATTAGTATACCAGTATTAGATTACCATTGAAGCAGAATACAAGATGTAAAGCAATCTGTAACTCTTTCAAAATTTTCATGTCACTCATTAAGTAAAGATATTGTTATATGCTACTTCAAATTAAATCTCTTTCTGATTTACTCTACATGTTGGCTGGATGTAAATGCTAAGAAAGCAAAAATAAAATAAGTTGCTATCTGCGCAGGAGCTCCGAGCATCACATCCAGCTCACAGAGTAAATAAGTAGACAATCGTGAAAAATGATCCACCACATCTGCCTTTAAGAATGCTGCTCACAACATTGTAGGGTAATTGCAGCAAACAGGCAAGCTGTCAACATCATCAGTGACTTCAGTCAACAGACCTAACATATGCATCAACTCCAGGCTCTATCAACTCTCCCCTTCCTCCAAGTCACTTTGCTTGCTCACAAAGAGACATTCTGCCTTGATCCTCTGTATCAGCAATACAAAGAATTTTATCTTGACAATTCTTGCCATTTTTTTCTTTTTGTCTCACTAGTGGTACTTGTTTCAATTATTTGTTCTCTTATGCTAGCATATGGAGGTTTATAACAATATTAAAGTTAATCACAGTAGAAATAACTTTGTTTGTTAATGTGACATGGAATCTAAAATGAAAGTGTTGGAAGTAAAAAAAAAAAAAAAAAAAAAAAAATTTATTTGAGTACTCTAAGCAAGCTCATCCTCTATGAAGAGAAATCAGTCCAAAATTTACATTTATTCAACAAATGACAGTGAATGCTGGAAATTTTTCTCACTTATGAAAGTAACAGAAATGTGATTCTACAAAAAGATGCTGAGAATATTATGGACCAAACATGTGAGCAATGGCATAATGAGTAATGATGAAGTTTTAGAGGAAATGGAAACAAAAAGGGCACTTATATTTAACATCAGAAAGAGATAGTTGAAATTTCTAGGGCACATATAGGAAAGAAGGCTTGAAAATTTAATATTCACAGAAGAGATTGAAGGCGAGAGAGAGAGGAAAATAACGCATAGCCTACCTAGTGAGGTTGAATAAATGGATAACAGAACAAGGTTTAGGAGAGATAACAAAAACACAAAATTTAATAAGAGCTACAAAGGACAGAAAATCGTAGAGAGCTTTGATTGTCTACGTCCTGAAAGGAGACAGCACATAGAAGAATTGATAAAAGGATGACTTGTAGAGCGTCATTAACAAGATGTGGCTTGAAATTACACTTTGCAGACTAAAATTCTAGTCATTGGTAAGTAACAGAAATCATTTCAACAAACGTAATTTTCATTTCTACTTTCTGTGATAAAAGTTATAGAACACAGGTATTTATATACCCCTCTTATACTTATTATAAAACCCAGGTTGTGTGTGTGTGTGTCTGTACGTTTATATATTGGATCGGATTTCCTACATTTTTCAACCGATTTCAACAAAATTTCACAGGACTACGTAAAATTACCTTGCAGTGGTTCTGACAGTGCCAAAAATGGGAAAAACAATTGTTTTTGCACGAAATCAATTTGAAAACACGATTAAGAGGCATCGCTTTTGCGGAATGAAAAAGGGGGACAACTCATATTGAGTTATACTTATAAAACCCAGGTTCTTTGTGTGTGTGTGTGTGTGTGTGTGTGTTCGTTTATATATGGGATTGGATTTCCTACATTTTTCAACCGATTTCAACAAAACTTCACTTTTTTTTGGCAGGTAGTGTTTCTTATTGTCTTGCACACTTTTTTCTTTATTTTTACATTCAGAATGCTTTAAAAATTTCATTTACAAGACAATTGTTTATAATAAAATTCTATTCAATCGGTAGATTCATAACGATTGAAAACAATGTTTTTGTTTGAGTTTGACCAATTCGTAAAAAAAAAGTAATAATTAAGACATGCGTGTCCGTCAACGTTAAACAATAATCTTTGTAAATTTTATTTTTCAGTCTTTATGATGGTCGATACTTGATCTATCTCTTACTATTACATCCCTGGGCAACGCCGGGCTCTACTGCTAGTATTTTATAAAAAATGAAGTATTAGGAACAGTAGATTTAATTAGTGTTGGGCATTAAAACTCAGGATATATAGGAGTGGATCAATAAATCTGAAGGTTGGCAAAGTTATTATGTGAATTTTGATTTGAAATTTTCACCATACAATATTATTTTATGTAATTAAGAGAAACATTTGGTTAAGTGAATGTATGGAAGAAGATTATGCTGAAAAAGTAAATATGTTGCATAATTTTTTTTAGTCTTCTTCCATTATTATTTAGTCTATATAAATTTATATTTTCATCAACTTTATATTCTCTGGCATAACTGATGCTGTGAATATTGATTTTTGTCTTCATTCAAATGCTTAGAAACGGCTAAAAAATAATCTATCATAATATATTCTTACTTCTTTTTTCTATACTACTGAGTAAATTAATTGTAGCACTGATTGTCTTAAATTGTTTGTGAATTCAATACTGTCTCGAGGCTGCAATGGTTACTTTTAAGTTTTCATCCATGAACTCCCAAAATACGAGAAACGAGTTTTACAATCAGAGGGCGATCTGGTATAGTGTTCAAAATTATCATGATCAAGAATGAAATGACATTTTCCTGTGGTGGTGGAAACATTTCAAAATAATTTTGTCATTAAACATAATTTGAATTTTATAAAAGTTAAAAAAAAAAGTCTCCTATCACGAACACTAACAGCCATTATTAACTTGGGATGTTAAACTTCGAGTTCGGCAAAATGAAAACAAAGTACAATTATTACTAAAATACGTACGGTGATTGATTCTTCTTTTTTGGTTGTTGATTGAGGCAAGCAACGCTTACGACACAAAAATCGCTGATTGATCCAGGATTGGTCTTCCTGTTTTTGGATATCAACAGCCGCATCCTTATCCGTTTCCTTGACGACAGATTCGCAACTTTGTTGTTGTACGGTTATATTGTTATTCAATGTCGGTAAATTAGGAGGCGGAACATTAAAGTTTGGCGGAAGTGTTATTAGCAAGTCTTGAGAAGGAATTGGAGGTGATGGACCAATATTTAGATTTGTGTTACTTGGCGTGGGAGTAGCAGGAATGAAACTAGAAGCCCCAGGTTGAGGGACAGGTATGTTTGATTGCAGAGAAGAGGTTATTTGGCTTCTGGAATTGTTCGAATTTAGGTTATTCTGATTACATACAACTGGGGGTAGTGGAGGGGGAGGAGGACACGCTGCATTTGGTAAGGGAGGAGGAGGAGGAGGACACGAAGGGTTTGGACCAACAAAAAGGACCTGCTGGGGTCTGGAATAAGGAACTGAAGGCGTTTTGATGGGTGGAACGGGTGCTACTTGGTTTGTATCTGTTGGATACATAGATAGAGGGGGTGGAGGTAGACTAGTATTAGGAAAGTTACTGGGAGGTACAGGTGGGAAAACATTTTGGTTGCAGCTTTGATGAGTTGAATCTGGTACATTCCACCCAAGGTTGTCATATCCACCAACTCGAGATGACTGAGCGGGTGGTTGTGGAGGTGGGGGTACAGTGGCGTGATGAAATGAATTGTTTCTGTCGTGAGCAATTAAATGTTGACGAGGAGGAGGCGGTACTGAAGGGGGTAGTGGATGTCGATATAAAGGCATTTCGTTTGGAGGAGGTTGAAAACGATAACCAGGTTCCCTGCGATTATATTCTTGAGGATTTCGATTTTGTAAAGGCTCCAACCGATGATTTCCGCTATGGAAAGACTGGTTTTTTCTCGGAAACATATCGGAAGTGATTGTGCTTATTGCTTGTGAGCAGTGGTGTTATATTAATCATGAAAATTTACTAACCAACTATATATTTGGTAAACCAAAAATCAGTCATCAACATATCCGCCATATTTATTCTCGCGGGTGTATACAAATCTCACGAGATTATGTTATTTCCGGTGTGGTATTTATTTTGTCCTCAATGAAATCAGGTAGAAGAACCAAAATCTGAAAGTATTGAAATAAGATTGTATTTCTTCGATTAAATTTAGCGAAAATAGTGTTATAAGACCGTTAATAAAATGTTTCTACAAGTTTATTTTCCGACAATGTTTCAATTAATGTTAATTGATGCAATTCTAACCTGAAGAATTGAATTCTTAATCTTTCTTTCTTTACAATTTAATTTTAAAATTCTTAGAATTTTATTTAAGTTTTTAATTCTTGTGAAGGCAAATTTTAAAAGAAATCTTATTCAAATAACTTCAACAATTAATAAAATATCGCACAAAAATCTTGAAAAGTGATTTTTTTTATTAGTAAAAAAAAATTATTTCGTTCAGAATACAAATGGCTTATGTTTTCCAAAAATAAAAAGTTTTTACAATTTTAATTGCCACGATGTCAAATTTGGGAGGTGGGGATCAAGTAATTTTACTTGTTTAACTGCAAATGCAAACTATTCAAACAAACAAAACAAAACTTCCTTCTTGAGGGCAGTTTTTACTTTAAAATATAATTTCCATTTTAGCAAATCTTTATTTTATTTCATTGTTGCAGTTTAAGTTTCCGATCGAATTGTTAAATAAGAATATTTTTTTGAAATCGCATGATTATTATTATTTTGAAAGTGGCGCGATTTTTTTACTTTTTGTTTGAATTGAACATTCAAAATACCAACTCAGTAATTTTTTTAAATTTTTAATAAAAGTTATATATTATTACGAACGAGATTCATTCAAGTAGATTTTCAGCTGTTAATTTTTTTTTACACCAAGCATAATTAGCAATTTTTCGTCAGTTATTCGAAACATTAAAATAAAAAGTTAATCGTGTAAAATAAAAAAAAAACGGCATCACTTTTTATTTGAGATGGAGAAACATGTCATGAATGAATTTATTTTAAATTTAAAAATATCTGCCTATTTCATATTGGACAGTTGTATCAATTCCTAATTAATTTTAGTAACATTTGATGTGTGGGTTGTAGGAATTGTGATTTAATCGCATTTTTGTTGAAAACTTCAAAAGTGTTAGTAAAAAAAGTTTTTTTGTGTCTTACGAGAACTAGAGAGCATTTTAAGAAGAAAAGTTCATTTTTTTTTCAATAATGATAGCAGTAAAATTTAAATTCTCGTCTTCTCTTTTTAATTGATTTTTTAAAATTTTTGTTGTATAAATGATAAATTACTTTTTTTGTTTGACTGCTTACATGTGAGTGAAATGGACGCCTTGACATTCGTTTCGTAATTTTTTGTTTTTTTTTTGGGGGGAGTGATGATGGGGGGGAGTGATGATGGGGAGGGCGAAGGGGAGGTGGCACTTTCGTCTCGAGTCACGTGACATCAGGTAAACAGGAATGGACGCACGAGGAGAAAGGATTTTGTCGGACATCAATTTAGCCTTTAAACGGGATCCTGCAATGTACGTAAAAATTAAACAACAAACAAACCGTATTTATTTTTCTCTTAGGATTATATTATGTTATGGAATGTTTAAAAATATCCGTGCCTGCTTCTTTATAACAAGAACCGAACCGTGAACAAACAAGTCAGCACCGTTTTGAAAGGAAAAAAAAAAAAAAAGAGTTGCCTTTTCTTTTTTTCGTCGTATTTTTTCCTTCTCCAGTATTGATCGCCTTATCTTTATTCTTTTAAAATAGCCAAAAGTATAGTAAAAAAAAAAAAAAGATACATCGCAAAAACTGAGGGAACTCTTTTTTTACCATGTTTCATATTTAAACTTTATAAAACATTCATTTTCTTCAAGGTCGTTGAAAACAAATATAAGAATAACTAGAGTTAATGAATGTAAACGAGAAAAATACCTTCAATAATTGCAATCAGAAAGTCTTGTCTTTATTAGTCTTTCTTTAGTCTTTTGGAACTATGTGGATCAGTGATTAAACACTATCGTAAACTGTACTGAAGACAAGCCGGTTAAAGTCCTTTTTTGTTTGTGACATTACCAAAACTTTATTTTCTGCTTATTGTCATATTTTGACAAGGTGATCTACACACTTTCAATTAGTCAATCAATCAATTGTCTTCTTAAAAATAAATAAGTTTTAATTACACACAAAATAGAGGGAAAAGACCTTTAAAGTCATTAACTCCTGTTTTGTATGACAATCTGAAAATCTATGTGATTATTATTTTTTTAAAACAATCTTTATTCATATTGCAAAAAGTATTTATCATTTTTCAAAGAATTTAAGCTCGAAGTAAAGAAATTAAAACAAAAGAAAAATGGTAATAATTAGTGTAGGTAGGTAAACATTTCACGATCTCAAAGTTGTTTTTCTATGATTACATCAAAAAAAATTACGGCATAAAGCCACAGGTATAGGGCACCCGGTGAGGATCAGATAGTAGTACTAGTAATAATTGTTTTTTATTTGTTACTAATGTTTTTTGTGTTTTTAACTTTCATTTCCCTGCAAATAATGGTCACAAATCATTTCACTCACAGGATTCCATCAATTATTGATGGTTACACTCCTCAACGTCTGTGACTAATTTATTTTCTGTTTTTACTGCAAATTTACCGAAAATTTGACTTTGTTCATAAAATAAACATAAACTCGTTTTGTTTTCTTCAAAATTTTAAATGAAATGTGCTTGCGATATGAAACAATGTTAGTCTTTTTTACTCTTTACACTTTAACTTTAGTTTACTAAATTTTCACCATTTCTGCTTCAATGTGGTGTCAAAAACTAAAATAATAATAAATTGATTGTAGTAATTTTTATTAGTATTATTAATCTGGTGTCTACAAATGTTATTTATTGCTAAAAATGTTATCTTTATTTTTTACACTGAAAAGTGAATTTGTGTATCTTAGCAAAATTGTGTCCTTCGACGATTCACGCTTCTCTTGTGTTTTTAAAAATCCATATGAAAAGAAAACAGTAAATAAAAAAATAATTTTGCTTCTTTCGGTTTTAATGCTCTTTTTAAATGATTTATTTATCTGTTAAGAAGAAGTTTATTCTCATTTCTTCATTCCATTATAAAAAGAAATCCTTAATTTTCAACGGTATTTTATTATTTTTTCAAGTATTGACCTTTTGATCAAAATGAATGAATGAATGAAACAGGAAGATTGTTGCAATCATTTTTCTTTTTTAATATCACATTTTTAAGTATGCTTGATAAACACAAATAAAAATTCCTTTATTTTACACTTCAGACTATTTTCTCGAAGACATTTTGAAGAACTAAATTGGTTAAAAATTCTTAAATTGGTATATAGTTGTTGACTTTGTCATATTTTTATTTTAATTTTCGAAAAAAAATCCTATTTTTAATATTTGTTTACTTTTTAAAGGGACATTTGATAAATGGAAAATTAGATCAATAAAACTTTTTTGAAGTAATTTTTTATGGCACTAACTAAAAACATTTTTATCTTCTCTTGTCATTGAGAAAATTGATGTCTTCCTCCCCTAGTATGATGAAGTAATAACTTTTTTCTTAATCTACCCATCTTTTATTTAGTTATTTATTTCTAATAAATGTCTAATGACTCTTGTGTTAGCTGAGAACATCGCCTCCCTCTTAAAAATGATGAAAATATCAATAATGAACGAGGTTGTCGCTAAGTTTTGTTAAAAAAGAATCTTTTGAGTTTTGACAATGTCGTATCCTTTAAAAATAAAATTTAAAGGATCTTTTTTAATTTCACATTTGAGTGAAAAATAAGAAAGGTCTTTTGTTTCAAATCAATCAGCTCTTTTATGTTTTTCTTTTTAAACTTAGATTCCACGTTTTTAGTTTCTATCGTTTTTTTAATTAAAAAAAATTATATGTTGAAAAAATGGTTTATTTTTTTACTCTTCTTCACGTAGTTTTTTAATTTTAATTTCTACTCTTACTTCGTTCAAACAGTAAAAATAGTAAGAATTTATAAAAAGTCGAACATAATACTTTTTTTAATTTTTAAAAATGTTATTGTCACTTTTTTCTTCGTTCTTTCATTACTTTTTTTTGACTTTTTTATGATTTAGATTTGTTGAAAAAATTCTTTTTCTTGACTTTTTTTTTAGTTTTCTTGTTTATAATCCATCTTTTGTGAAACGTATTTAATTTTTTTTACGCCTTGGAGTCGCAATATCTGTGAGAAGGAATTATTAATTGCGTGCTCTTTGAGGCGACACAAGACTGTTTTGTTCGCAACTGATATAAAAAAATCTTTATCATAATTTATTCTGTAAAAAGAAAGACGAAAAGTTCATATTTCGTATTTAAATTAGATAAGCTTTTAAAAACAACTAAAAAACTATCCGATATTTCATGGATTAATAATAAAAAGAATTTCGTTAGTAATTAATTAGTATTTTTTAGTATGAACGTGAGAATTTACTTCACACTTTTTAAAAGAAATTGTAAAAAAATTAAATTATTTTGACATTTTTTCTAATTGTCAATATGGCGTTAAAAATGATGAAGCAAGCTATTTATTTTCTCAAACTAAGACTGCTTGATTGAAACCAATATAAAGTCATTCTTTGTCATTGTAAAATAAAACATAAATAAAAAAAAGTATAAAAAATGATAAATGACTTCAGCTTGCCTGTCCAAGATATTTTGATTAAAGAATTCAATTTAGAAATTAAATTTGCGTGTTTTACATATAGTGGTTAACGATGGGTCAGCAAATTAACCATGTTATTGTTAAAAAAAAAATAAGTTCGTTTCATTAAAAGTCACCTCGAAGAAAAACCATTTTCAACTTCTTATTGCAATCACTTGAATATTATACAAAATGAATACTCTTCTTATTGCTGTCATTCGAATATGATACAAAAAAAAATGAATACTATCTATTAATTGCTAGTCAATTTTATTCTATTCAAATTAGATTTTTTAACCCAGTATTTAATTTCGAACTGAACTAAATTGTTGAAAATGCATACAGTTTTACAACACACAAAGTACATTATTTCTTTGGAACTCTCATTAATTCAGAATGGTCTGCCCAGTATATTTTCAAAATTATTAAAGTTCATAACATTTGAAACTAAAACTAGAAGAAAGTGAAAGAAAAGAGAAAAAAAAATTATCTTACCCCTTTTTGTTTTTTTTTGTTAGATCATAAAGAAAAAGCCTCATGTTTGCCAGTCAAGTACAAATTACCTTTGTGAATAAAATTTCCAATGCAAGTTTACAAAATGATTTTTCAGTAAGGTTTGATCTTAACCATCTAAGTTGTAAAATTTATATATGATTGATTAATGAGTTTCAAATTAAAATATAGAAAGATTGATTTATTTCATGTTATATTACAAGCACAGTTGCTGACAACAAATCCACTTGTCTCTGGTAAGATATTGAGGGGTGAGTTATTGTTACAATCATGGAAAATCCTTCTGAATCTTTGTTTTCAATGTTAGGTTGTGATCATATAAGTATGCTTTTAAAAAGGCATTTTATAGTGTTAGTAATTTTTTTAAATTTTGAGTTTATAAAAGTTACTATGTTTCCAAGCCTAAAAGATACTATGGTTCCTACTATATACGACACAAAAAATATGTAAATCTCCAAAAATCAGCCAGTATCTTAAAACATACTTTAGTTTTTGACACACTTTTTCTTTTATTTATTTATTTATTTATTTTTGCCAATCCTTTCAGGGTACTGGAGATCTTGACTTTCCACATATTCCTTTTCTTTATTAATTCTGAATTATCATGCATTTTTGGGGAAAGATATTTGTTTCCTGTTGCCTTCTTCACAGTTTTGTATTTAATTTTCCTTCTTTTACACTGGTTGCTAATAAGGCTAGAGAATGCAGTATACCTAGCTATCTCTTTGCTGTGGGGGAGGAGTGGAAGAGACAGGGGCCTTTCCAGTGAGCATTAGTGCGAAAGTGAATGCAACAGATTAGGCCAGAATTCTGCTTTCTGCTCCAATATCCATTGTGTTACCCACACATCATCTAGCTGATTTAAATTATTATTATAAATGAAAATGTTAAAATATTGAAAAAAAAATATATATATATGGATGAATTGTTAGTTAACTATTATTTGTTCTTTTCGTAAATATTCCTTGCCACTTATCAGTGTTTATCAGCCAGGAATATAAGGTAAATATATCAGGTAAAGAACTAAATAATTTTTTCATGATAAAAGTCGGAAACAACATAGAAAATTAGCAAAAATTACTTTCTTATTTGTTGAATTTGCTAATTAATCATTCAAACACTTATATTTAAATGTTAAAATAAATATATTGTTGAAGAATAACTTGCTTTTGTTTATATTTATTGTTGTTGATTCTTGCAGAATATTTTGACGAAAAGTTTAAAATGTAGCCTACTCTCTCACTGACAAAAATACCCAATTTATTACAATGACAAAACAGTGATCTTAAAAGATTTTTGTTTATTTATTGTATTGTATGAAAATTGAAAAGGCTAA